GTCTTCAAACCCGTCATATATGACGGAGAAGACGCTTTATCCGGAAAAGATAATGCATGGTCTCATTTGCAGGACTCGCCACAAAACCGCCATCGTCTCGCAATTTTATTTGCAGCGCTCTATGTCCTACTTTGTTCCACCGTCGAGGGTGTTAGTCGTCTGGTATAGTCCCAAGCAACAGACGCACCTCACTTTCTCCCACCGTTCTTGGTGACCCAGGTCATCCGCTGCCGGTGCAGGGTTGCAGATTTCCCGTGGCAAGGCACGCCCCGAGACAAGGGGGCCTACGACAGGCCTGAGCCCTGAAGCCTCTCGCAAGTCTTCCTTCATTGCTTTTTGCAATACCCCACCAAGGAGGCGGTCATAGTTCTGGGTCCTTGTTGGGATCATGGGTTTTGATACGGGTACCGACTGCAGATTTGCTTCTCAATATGTCGGCCGCCTCGGAACCTCGATGCTGACCACCGGGTTCAACGACGGCCAAGAGTTTTTTCCCACTACATACCCCCAGCACAGAGCAGTCAATATTTTCATTGAGAGATGACCAAGAGAAGCGCCGTTCGTATACGGATACTCCAGCAAATCACATGTTAGCCGTCAACTATGTGGCCTTCTCGTCTGTGGATCAACACTCCATAACAGGGACGGGATGCATCTACCCATAGAAAAGGGGAATACGCCCAGATAGGACCCCTCACAGAAGCACAAGCATCATGCTCAATAGTTCCCACAGTCCTGCAGCTACGGCCCCAGGCTCCCTATTCAAATCCTGACAGTGGCCTAATCTAGCGTGGCCTGGTCGATAGAGACTCCTTGCAAAGTTACGGCACGGATTTGACAACTAACCCACCCCGAAATGGAGGGACTGCTTGGACAAGCAAATATGGCATACGGTTCTCAATTGGGAACGAAATCGTTGCCGAACGGCACTCGCGAGTTGCAGAACTCGAGGATGAAAAGTTTGCAAACGTTACAACAGCCGTTGAACCATCTGTGGCGCGCGGAATCTTGATCGCTGCAGATAGTCAACGGTAACGGCCGTTGGCTTATTTTGCTCGATAGTGTCACCAAAACGTCTTGCCCTTTCGAGGTTGACGCCATCGGATGAACTGCCTGCGAAAGGCTGGTAGTACCAGAAGACAGTCATGTTTGGCAGCGCGACATGGCGGATACGGTTTGCAAATCACAAGTAATAAGATGGCTTGATATAGCCTTTAGCTTTACACGCAGTGATCAAACGAGCACGACGCCGAACGAAAGTGATAATGGCTCCCTTGCTCATATCCTAGCAACCCCCGAAGGCGGGAAGCTGCTCGGTATTACAACAAATCAAGAGAAACCTGACTTCGACTCCCGCGGACCCGGAGAAGAATCCCAAATGTTAGGTATGACCTTTGCGTTAAGGGCGACAAGCGGTAGAAAATGCTCAATTGCTGCCAGCCTCGAAGCACGCTATAGCTCTTCCGGTATTCTGCCAAATCTGGGCACAACCATCCATAGACTGGCAGAGTCAATCAGTCTTCACAAAAGAACGCAACATGATTGTACCTCTCTCTCGAGAGAGAGGTACATGCCTGAACAAAGAACGCGAACCCGCATTTGGTTAACATATATGCAGCCACTCGCCATACCACGAACGTCTTTCGTCCAAAAGTCTAGCGCGAAAACAAAAAGGCCAACGATGCTTGGCGTCTTACCAAAATTTGCCTAGCCAGGGCCTAGAAGGATCGCAAAGACGGGGGGCATGGGGGCCTCGTCCTCAGATGAACCCAAGGCTTCACATCGTTCTGTACTTCGTCCGCTTTCCCATCCTTTCACAGTGGGGCAGAAGCGGCCAGCATTGGCTTCGAAGCAATCGCAAGTGCCGTCAAGTGAGATCAGCAAAGAGGCCCTGCCGTTGTGGCTGGTCAAATCGACTGTAGGTATGTTCACCAAACCCATGTTGGCATATGCTCCGATAGCTAACTTATCTAAAAGATCAAGCGGATGGCTGACACAATGAGGAAGGCGTTTTCAGGTTGAATCAACCGGACTAGCCAACAACATGGCTCTACTACAGCCCCATGTTGACATCAACATACACGACTACCTATGAACAGGGAACAAAAGTCATCAAAGACATCAAGGACGGCATATCAACAGAGGACCATCACTGCGTAATTACCCGGGAGATGGGAAAAGGGAGGGGGAAAAACCGCATCTTAAGAGAGGCATCAAAACACAGGGGCCAGGCATACGTCAGTCTTGGAGAGAAGGTCCTAGCCTCGACTCCCTAGGAGCCACAGCCAACCCACTGTGATGACCATCGCCGTCATTCCTCGCCTTTTGCAATCACGGTTCATTGGTCATCATCATACCCAGTTGCTATGGGGTCAGCCATGTCTTACTACGGGCGCAAAGGCCTCTAGTAATTTCTAATTCTTGTTCCATGTTCAGGAGACTTTGGTGATGGTCTCTTTAAGATGCTCCGTATCTACTCCTACTCAACCAGCTGTGTACCTTTCTACAAGATGGAGATGCTGACCTGAAGGAATATGCGGTCTGTAGCTTGTACACCCCAGCTCGTGCTGCTTGGTGAAAACCTGGTGAGGTTGTCCATCATCTGCGACCATACTCATCGTGCGCTTTGATATCAAGTTCTTACCCCGGATGGCGCTGAGTGGACCGACCGCTCCGGGATGTCGTCTTCGTTCAGCCGTGCGATCTAAGCCGGGTTGTGGGATGCCTTCTCTTTCCCATCCCCAGTCAGGGTCTATGTGTTCAGACCTCAAAGCCACAGTCACAGTATCAGAGTAGCATCCTGATCTTCTCTTCGAAATCCGCGGCAAAGTACCATCCGGTGTAGGGTATATCGATACATGCGCCTTTCTTTGTCAATCTCCGACGCGATGGACGAATTACTTTCGGCATTGAGCATCGCAATGGCCTCTTCCATACGGTACCTCACACTTTAGATGGACGTGCGGCTCTTCTTCGTCCGGGCCGAATTCCTCAAAGGCTACTACCTACCTATAACGCGCGTCCCAGACGGGTCAGAGGCGCAGGAACGATGCAAATGATCTGCCGATATCTCAAAGCTTCCCTGGTCGCATAGTATCGGTGCAACCATTACCATTCTTCCTATTGGAAAGGCATTCGTGATCGATCTATTACACAGCCATACACATGGTGACATTGGCTTCGTCTTGTTACTCCTCCGCCTCTGGTACTGGAGCTTAACATGGCGAGTAACAGTAGGACTTCCAGAGTTTTTTCAAGGGATAGTTCACATGTACTCGCATTTATCACAGCAGACCTGCGCGCATCTACCAGTCGGCAGATTGAAGAGCTGGACCAACAGTGATCAGACCATACCAGACCGTATTTGTAGATCCCATGGAACTGGATCCATGCAGCCTCAAAGTTCTTTCGCGCAGTCTCAGGGACAGCCCGCCTTCGAATTTTCCGATCCGACGAGGGGATACTACTCTGGATTTGAACATCCAATCGCAATGGGCATCAACGACATCACCTTACCTTCCTCTCCTGTTGCAATGCTACCAGTTTGGGATTTCCTCTCGGGGATTATGCAGGAGACGCCCAATGGATGCTACGCCAGGAACGGACTATGTTCGCCAGCCCATTGTGACATTGCGATCAGACCGAGTGGCATTCACTCACACTCAACAACAGCCCAACCTCATCTGTTGCCATCAGATTACAACGGGCGCAAAGCCACTCGCGGTCGGAGGCGTTCTTCCTTGGTGATATACGAACTTAGCGTTACAGTCACTCCTGCTACGTCGGTAACACGACGACCGAGTTAGAAGCGGCGGCTAAAGCTGTCGGTACCTTGCGAATGCTATGATGCTCAGAGGTTGTCGGAAGAACCTCGTCGGGTCCTTAACAATTCGCCCTGAAGGAAGGGACGGGGTTTACACCTCCAGATCGACTTGTTGAGGTACATAGGTAATGGTTCTTCTAGACCTGGAGGCTGGCGGACGATCTCATGCGCCCTTCCCCGTTCGACATCAAATCCCAATGCTGAAGCGTCCGGGAGTCATGAAATTAATTCGTCGCACAAGACAGAAGCCAACTGAAGGAAAATAAAAATTCAAAAGGCGCCGAGACTAATTGCCGCTAGAGATGTGTCACAGCACCTCTAAAGTTATTACGCATACGGACGTAAGAATCGACAAGGAGGCGTGGGAGGGTGATGGGGATGTTGGCGTCATCCATCTGCTGTGGCTGATAGGGGTGTAGGGGTCGCCAGTACGTGGCATCTGCAGTCCCCCGTGCTGATGGCATCATCCCGCTTTTCGCAACGAAGATCGCAACAATTCCCCTGCTTTTGTTTCGAATTGACGATTATACGTCTCGAGGTGGCCGTGGGTGCTCCTAGGGAGCTACATACAGACACCAGTGACGGAACTGCAGATACCGTTGCCCACCGCCTATACGTGCGGCGGTTCTGAAATCAGGCGCGGGGGACTCGGGACCGAGTTTCCTTGGACCAAGTTTCGTTTCAAGCACAGACCAGCTTCCCTTGGGGGAGGGTTGAGTGACTAAGCAGGGGAAACTGTCTCTTGGAAGAAACTGGTCACTTGATTCTGCACGTGAGGCCAGCATCAAGCACGCGCCCGGGCCGTAGGGGTCTTGGACCCTGCCAAAAGGGATGAATGGAAGGTTTCAGCCGCGCTGTCAATAGGAAGCGTGGTTCTAAAAGGGTGAGATGATGTGAAGCTCATATCGTACCATGAACTGGAAGCCCTCGATTACATCGTCGACGAAATAAAACATTACGTGTGTGAAATTGGTGGTGGAGCTTCCAACCACACGTCCGATTCTCATCACAACCCACCCGTATCCGTCTTACAAGCAAGGGAGTGAGTGAGTGAGTGATCGCAGGGAGAACCAGATACTGTTGTACACAGAAAGCACACAACAAACAAAACATTGAGAATACAAGCAACAACAGGATCAACGGCAATAACAGAGAGAGAGAAAGAAGCATAATCATAATGGACCCAAATATCTCGGCATCCGCTCTGGGTGAGCCACACCACCTGGGCATCGGCTTCTACCTCCTCCCCTTCGCCACGTTCCTCTGCTTCCTCGTCCCGGTCCTCTACATCTTCCCCCCCATCCCGGCCACCACCAGCGACGCCCTACGCTCAACCCACACCAAGATTGGCGTCTCGCCGCCAAAGAGCAACCTCCGGGACCAGTACTCCGTCAAGGCCGACGCCGGCAGCACTTCCAATGCCGGCACTGGCACCGGCACCGGGCCCGTCGCCCGGGTCAAGGCGCTCTGCGTCTACCCCATCAAATCATGCCGCGGAATCGAAGTGACCCGGAGCAAGCTCCTCCCGACGGGCCTGGAATTCGACAGGCTGTACACTTTCGCGCAGCTCAAGTCCCGCTTCCCGGCCGCCGTGGACGACTCGGCCGAGGCGAAGGACGAACACACCTGGGAATTCGTCACGCAGCGCCAGTTCCCGCTCCTCGCGACCATCAAGGTAGACGTCTACGTGCCCGACGCGACCAAGTCCACAGTCTTCATGGAAAAGTCCTCCGACGCGTGGATCGTGATGCGGTTCCCCTGGCGGGAACCGGGGTTCCGGGGCACCATGTCGTGGGTGGCGTCCAAGATCCGGGACGGGTGGAGGGGCCAGCCGGAGATGGAGGTGTTGTTGCCGGTCGAGTTTCCGACGGACGCGGAGATTGCGGAGCGCGGTTACACGCGCGAGGACGTCAAGGTGTGGAAGGAGGTCGTGCCGGCTCTGAATATGGAGAAGGAGTTGCCGGGGGAGCTGTGTCGGTATTTGGGGGTGAGCAACAAGCTGGCGCTGTTCCGGGTTGATCCGGGGCAGTTGAGGGAGGTGTATCGGTGTGCGCCGAGGAAGGAGGAGGCTGGGTATCAACCTATTGTTGGATTCCAGGATGCTGTGAGTTTTTGTTCCTCCTTTGGTTCTCGGTTTTGGGTCCCCTTACCCCTTTTTCGGGTTTCTCTTCGTTGAGAGGGATAAGAAATGGATGTGTGGGAAGTGAGAGAAGGAGACTTGAAGCTAACGAATCATTTGAAAAAAGTATCCCCTGCATATCATGAACATCAGCAGTCTCCAGGACTTTGACGCCAAGGTGCCCAAGGACGACGAACTCAAGCATCTCGATGTCAGGAGGTTCCGGTCCAACATCATTGGTAAGTTCGATTTAATATAGCATGAGACGATCTCCTTCCCTCGAGACTCTCTAGAGGCTCGATAGCGGGCAAACTTTTAAGGCTCAAGAGCTTTACTGACGAAATCCTGTGACAACATAGTCTCTGATGCGCCAGCCTACGATGAGGAATCATGGAAATGGGTCAACTTCACCCAGGGCACCTCAAAGGTCACTGTCCCGGCCAAATTCCAAGTCTCGTGCCGTACCGTCCGGTAAGCTCCCTTCCTCCTTTCCTCACTCACTCACTCACTCACTCACTCACTCAAAAAAACACCTTGACTAACACCCCCTCAAAGCTGCAAAATGCCAAACGTCGACCCAGTAACCGGCGCCCGCCACGGCGCCGAACCGGACCGGTCCCTCCGCAAGCTCCGCGATGTCGACGAGGGCGCCCCGCGCATGGGGTGCCTCGGCATGCAAATGTGCCCGCTCTTCGAGGGCACCGACCGCGTCGAGTACATGCAGGCCTGGCTCGAGGTCGGCATGGACGTATCCGTGCTTGAGCGCGGCGACCACGTGTACATCAAGCAGTGAAAATCCAGGCCACTTATCTTGATCTTAATCCTGAAGGAGAAGAAAGAGTATCTGGGTAGTGGCTGATGAGGCGATTTGGTGCTGCTGAGGAGAGAAGAGTGGTTGGATTTTCGTCTTGCTTGATTACGGTGTGTGAAATGGCATAATAGACATAGACTTCAATCACACGCAGGAGAGAACGTTGTAGGTTAAGAACAGGAAAAAACAAATTTGATTTCCTAATATTCGCACTCGCAACCTCCATTAGATATCATGCCAATTACTCCCATATTTCCGGCTTGTTTTGCGTGAGAGAGACAAGCCCGTCCGAACCCAGTGCAGAAAAACGACAGAAAGCGTGCTCCGCTGTGGTATCCAACGAAAAGAAATTTCAGCCCGACCCAGAAACCCCATCGAGTACTCTTGCGCCTCTACTTCAGACCGGGAGAGAGGCCCCAATGGCAAATGGAAAAGAGGAAGAAAATCCCATCATCGTCATCATCATCATGTCGCGATCCGAAAACCATTTTAGAAACATTCACGAGCAAACGCGAACAAACACGTTTACTTCATGTCAGCAGGCGTCAATGCTTGAACCATACTGGTTCCTTCGCTGAAGCGAGTCCGGAAGATGCGGTTCGCGTTCTGGAACATGCCGTCCTTGAGAGAGACGACGATGAACTGCGAGCCCTTGAAACGCGTCTTGATCAGGCGACCAATATTTTGCGTGTGGGACAGATCCAGCGCGGCGTCAACCTCGTCAAGAATGTACATGGGCGCAGGTTTGAACTGCAGCAGGGCCATGATGAGTGAAAGGGCGATGAGAGATCTAAATTGCAAGCGTTAGTTTGAATTCATTGAAACTTAGTGGAAAAGATTGAGTGTGTGCTTACCTCTGACCACCAGACAGCTCAGTCAAGCTCTGCTTCCACACCTTGCCAAGGGATACCTTGACTTCGAGACCATCGCTAATGATCTTGCCTTCAGGGGGGTCCAACTTGGCGAAACTGCCGGGCAAGAGCTCGTTAAAAATCTGACCAAAGTCGCCGTTGACCTTCTCCCATGTCTCTTGCAGGGCCTTCTTTTTGTAGTCGTCCAGGCTGATGATGGTCTCCTCAATCTTGCGCTTGTCGCGGATGACAGTCTTCATCATGTGCTTGAGTGACACCTCCTTCTTCTCGACACTCTCAATCATGTTCATGACCTTGGGGTTGATCTTCTTCTTCATGCCCTGGAAGCGGTCCGTGAGGTTACGGAGCGTCGACTTGCACTCGCCAATGTTCTGACCCTTGAAGTCATACGGCGTTCCTGAACGGCCAAAGTTCTCCTTCTCGTCGGCAATCCAGTCGTGCTCCTTCTCCATGTGCGCAACAGTTTGCACGGCCGATTGCTGCTCCTTGTGGAACCTTTCGACCTGATGGCCAAGCTTCTGCATCTCGAGACTCTCCTCGGCGATGCGGGCGTTCTTGGATCGGGTAGCATCTTCAAGGGCGTGGAGTTCGTCATCGAATCCATGGAGCTTGGCCCGCTCATCGTCAAGCTCGGCCTGGACACCGTCAAGAGTCTCTTGCAGGGTGCTTTGCTGCTTGACAAGATCCTCGACGTCCTGCTGCTGGGCCTTGATGGCTACTTCAACCTCTTGCTGCTGTTCGCGGGCCGCGGACAAATCGCCAGAGACCTGTTCTGAGTCGAGCTGAGCGCCCTGTACTTCCTTCTGTAGAACCTTGACGGAAGCAGTGTTCTTGGTTAGGTCGGCCCTCAGCTTGTCCAATGATTTCTGGAGCTCAACAAGCTTGGCATCCTTGTTGTTGTCGAAGTCCTTCATGTCCTTCTCAATCCGCTTGACGTCAGCAGTGGCTTCGAAATGCCTCTTTTTGGCCTCCGCAGTGTCGCTCTTGAGCTGGGCAATGGTTTCCTTCATGTTCTGCACCTCTTGGATGATTGAAGAAGAAGAGTTGCTGCTAATCTGCTCTTCACCAAGCTTGATCTCGTGGCTCTTCAGGTCAAGTTCCTGCTTGATCTTGCGAGCGTGGTCAAGTTTTGACTTCTCACTCGCAATAGTGAGCTGAAGCTGGTGCAACGAAGACTCGGTCTCCTTGAGTTGGCGTGTGATCTCGTTAAGCTTTTGCAGCGTGACGAGCACACCACTGGAGTTGGGGGAGCTACCACCCGAGAGTGTGCCTGAAGGGTCATAAGAATCACCCTCAAGGGTGATGGACCTCATTCTGACGTTGGGGTCGAAGGTGACCCTCTTGGCCGTCTCTGCATCTGCGCAGATGAGAGTGTTGCCGAAAACATACTCCATAGCGGCGGAGACCTCATTGTCGTAGCCGACGAGTGACAGGGCTAGGTCAACCTTGCCTGGTGCAATTCTTTGGGCAGCCCCGATGGCCTGAGCCGAGGCTTTGAAGGCCGCAATCTTGTTCAAAGGAATGATGGTGACACGCTTGCGAAGCTTTCCTCCTTGAAGCAGTTGAGTGCCAGTGACTTCGGAGTCAACCACGACGTTGTAAAGGCGACCACCAGCGCAAATCTCGAGCGCAGTACCGGCTTGTGTGTTTTGCTTGTCGAGTGTAAACAGCTGGGCAACCAAGCCCTTGACCTTTGATCTATCGAAGTTGGGTGTCGGGTCGGCATAGTTGAAGTCAATGTTGGCGACCTTGCGCTTCAGGCCGTCGGCCTCCTGTCGAAGACCTCGGATCTGCTGCTGCAGGGACGACTGCTTCTGGTACAATTGCTCTTCCTGGCCGGGCTCAAAGCCTAGTCGTCCGAGCTCTTTCTCGAGCTTCTGCGCCTGTGACCTGAGGCCTTCGAGATCCCTGAGAAGGTCGGCATTCTGCTCTTTCGCCTTCTTGGCTCGCGGCTCCTCCTCCTTGATACGCTTTTCGAGATGAGCAATCTTCATCTTTGCTTGCTCCTGTTCGGTAACCGATGCTGTCGCGCGGTTCCTTGCGTCTTGCAGCTGGCCTTGGTAACCGCTTTCCTGACCATCCTTGGATGCAACACCAGTCTGCAAGGTTTGCAAGAGTTCCTCCTTGGATTCGGCTTCTTGGCTTTGCTTCTCCAGGTCGTCCTTGGCTGCGTCGAATCGGGCTTTGATCTCCTCAAAGGCCTGAGTCTTTTCTTGCAGTGTCGCCTCCAGCTCCGCGACGTTCTTCTCGACAGCCGTCTTCTTCTCTTTCTCTTCCGCCATGCTGGACTTCTTCAAGTCCATGACCGTGGCAAGTCTGACCAGCTCGTTTGAGTGCTTCTTGACGGCATCCTCCAAGGCTTGCGCCTTTCCTCCTTTCTTCAACTCCTTGTCGCGCTGAGCTCGGACTCGTTTGACATCCTCTTCAAGGTGGGAGATTTCGCTCTTCAGTCGTGCCGCAGACTCCTCGAGGTCTTTTTGTCTTTGTTTCTTGCCCTCCAGGTCTGCTGCGGATTGCTCAAGCTTTTCTTGGCACCTTACGTAGTCGTGCGCCACGACCACCCGTGTAAGACGCTCGAGATCGTTCTGGGTTTGTTGGAAGTCCAGGAAGGCTCGCTTCTCCGTCCTGAGCTTCTCGAGCTTCGGCTCGATCTCGTCTCGTAGCAGCTCGGTGATTTCTTGCAGTTTCATCTCTTTCTTTGCCATGGTCTTAAGCGCCTTGTCCCTCCTGTCCTCAAACATTCTGGTTCCCGCAGCTTCTTCAATCATGGCCAGAATTTCGACCGGCTTCATGTTGAGAACCTTTGTGATTCGGCCCTGCATAATGAGGAAATTTGGGTTGTTGATGTTTAGCTGGACAGACTGGAAAAGGTTTTGTACAGTCTGTTGTTGGGCTCGGTGTCCATTGATGAGGTATTTGGATGTGCCGCCAAGGACGATTTGTCGAGTTACACTGATGGTTGAGTACTCCTCGAAGCCGATCGGCGACTTCTTCTTGTCTCTATTGTCGAAAACAATTGTAACACTCGCTTTCGTCACACCGGCTTGACCGCGCTTGTAGATAAGATCCTGTTGCGAATAGCATCAGCTTCACCTGTCACCAGCAGAATGCACCGCAATGGATGGCTACGCACCTGGAGATTTTGCGCTCGGACTGTTGTCATGTTGGTAATTCCCAAAACGAAGCAGATGGCGTCCAAGATGTTGGACTTTCCGGATCCGTTGAGACCAGTGATCGAGTTGAAACTTTCGTCCCTGTGTTGTGTGAGCTTTCGTCCCCTCACAGCCAAGGCAAGGGGTTTGTTTACCATCCCGAAATCACCGTTCGCACGGCATACGACTTGAAGCCCTGAATACTGTTAGCATCGAAAAGATAAGAGACGGAATGTGATCGCATACGTCTATGATGACCTCTATGACCCTCATGCTGCCGTAGTTAGTTGTTGACGATGGTGTTGCTGAGGAGTGTTGTCAGAGTCAAGGTCTTATTGTTTACTTTCGATCGGTCGCGTTTCCACTTCACCCCCCCTTCCCATGGACGGAAGGTTTGGACCCTCCCGCACTCCCGCCCGATAAGGCCCTTATCGGGGACAGCACACATATGGGGCGGGCAGTCACACAGGGCACCGCGAGTCTCCCGCAAGCCGCAAGCGCGACTGTCAATCTGTGATTGCCCCGGCTCAGGCAGCCCCACGAGCTTCAGCCGCGCTAAGCCGAATTCGGACTCGACCAAAACATTCGGTTCGCAATGCAATTCAAATCCAGGTCCATCAACACCACCACACATCCATACAACTTTTGTGTGCTTTCCACTTTTTGCTTTCCTCTGCCCCTTCTTTTCCAGCAACTACCTTACTACACCCAGCTACCACATTCCGAACTCGATGACCAGCTAGCATTTCTCTTCTCTTTCACAGCGACACTCTTGCGCGTCGCGATCTACCCCTCACAATGGCGACGATGCGAGGAACGCGTGTGCCTATTGGCTCCGCGTCATGGATTAACGAAGAACGAACTACAGCCCTTAGCATCGTTCAGGCTGAGGCCGAGGAGTTCTCTTTTGCCGCGAGAAACGAGTTTGACTGGCTTAATGAGCATATGGCTGGGGTCTTCAACGAGAACGAGATGTATGGTGACCCCTAGCTAGTTGCTCTGTAACGATTGCTAACTACCTTGACAGCAATGTCGCCGAGATCTTCAAGACACCTGGAAAGCTTCGAAGCAAAACGCCCCACACGGCGCGTAAGGTCGACAATGGCGAGCCTCGTATCGTGAGTTTACTCCTCTCACGCGCGCAAATATCAACGTCCGCTAACAAGGTGCAGCCACTATCAGATGTGTTCTCTTCCACTCCCAACGGCGCCCCAAACACTTTCACACAACATCTTCCTCGCGCTACTCCCACTGCCCACCCTGCGCCATCAACATCATCACCTTTGATCAACAGGAATATTTCGCCCCTCAAGGCTGCCCCCTCCCCTAGGCCGGTTTCGAAACAGCCCGTTGCACTAGCCGATTCCGGATACTATGGCAGCCAGGATGTCGACAACATGGACAACGAAGAGGAAGACGACGACGACATGGATGTCGATCTGATTGAAGAGGAGACACAGATTGGCGAGCCACGATCGAGCCCCCCAAAGACTGCTGGACGAACCGGCCATGTCGCCTTCGAGGCCATCGAGCAGAGCGCGCCTCAAAGCCCTACCGAAACACGCACTATGCGCTCTCCTGAAGTTACTTTTCAAACGGCCAAGGAGGAGCAGACAACGCGGGTTATACGCGATCTCATCGAGGAAGCTCCATCCCCAGCATCGTCCAAGACCTCAGCTGCCCCAAGCCCGGCCAAGGAAGCCAGAACGCCCTCGCCTCCTATCGTATCACCCAAGCCTCGCTCCGCAAAAAAAAGCGTGTCGCCTATCAAGGCCTCACCAAAGAAGCGCTCCCCAGCGAAGCAGTCTTCACCGCCATCCTCACCTGTGCTTGGAGCTGCACCATCTCCCATGCCCGAGCCTTCGCCTGCTGCTGAATCACAGGATGATGTGGACGTCCACATGGACGATGATACACGATCACCGTCCGATGACGAGTCGAGCCCGATCCGCCCAGTCAGAAAGAGCAGCCTCAACTTTGCTTCACTTCCTGCTAGAGAGCCTCTTAAGAATAAGAGTATCGGGGCTCGTGTCTCTAGGACCAGCCACTTGGATATGAACCGTCAGAGTTACTACGGTCGGCAAACGGGAGGAAAGAGCTTGGGAAACAACATGGAACTACTTGGGGAATCAGACGACGAGGAAGGCAACGATGACGGAATGAGCATCGATGGCTCAGCCGAAGACACAAAGGAGGTCGACAACTACGCCTCCAACCACAACAAGACATACACTCAACGACTACAAGACCAAATCAACTTGCTCGGTAAATCTCAACCGAACGCAAGCCGACCTTCAAAGTCGATCCCGAGCTCAGCGGTTGCGCAACAGCTTGCGCAAACGACTGTGACCCAATCAGTTGCAGATGCCAAGGCAGCAACACCCGCGAAGAGATCTGCTGCACCACCGACTCCTGGAGCGTTCCCGGAGGACGATGATGAAGAAGACGAAGTGGAAGCGGGCGAAGAGGATGACTGGATTGCACCTCCTGTGCCTGCGAAAGATACGCCCCTGGCCAGTCCACGACCGCATTTGCCTAAGAGCCACACTGCGGACGTCATGGAAGGCATCGACAGGGCAGACACCGTCAGCGGCCCTGAATTTGCTTTGCCTAAGCAGCGGCAATCTCCTGGTCGCTCAGGCTCCCCCAAGCGGGCACCTGTCATCCCCGAGCGTACTACCAGTGTGTTTGGACATGGCAAATCTGCTTCTGTTTCTGTCTTGCCTGATCTTTCCAAGGACAAGATGGTTGAAGACCTGTCTCCAGCCAAGAAGCATGTTTCAGTGTCCAACCCTCTGTCAGCCGTGCCGGAGGATGGACGCCCCGAGACTCCTCAATCGCCTACACGAAGCTTCCGGGACAGTCCATTGAAACAGGTCAAGAACAAGCTGTCTTCCATTCTGAAGAGTTCCAAAGGTCTTCTTGCGAGCAGTGCGGCCATCAGCGCTGAAGGCAAATCTTCGCTAATGTCACCTTCCACCGCTCGCTTTGGCATCAACCCCGGTCCCTCTACAGACTCAATTGTGCCCCAATCAATCGCCGCAGAGCCATTATATCCTGACCTTTCCAAGCGAATTGCAACCGATGCTCAGACACTTTCCAGCATAGGGAGCCCCGAGAAGCCCGTTGCGCGCAGAACGCGGGCTTCCGTTGAGAAGGAGAAGGAAGACAAGCGTAAAGAGAAAGAGGCCAAGCTGATGGCTGATCAGATGAGCAAGCTGGACAAGGCTCGTGCAGATGAGCGGGAAAAGGCCCGGACTTTCAGCAAAGAACAAGAAAAGATTGCCGCAATGGAGAAGAAGATTGCTGCTCAAAAGGAGAAGGAACCTGAACAAGAGCAAGTCAGGGAGGTTGAACGACCTGCTCGAACGCCGGCGCCTAAGGAAGCACCCAAGCCCACAAGGACTAGCCCCCGCAAGGCCAAGGCTCAGGCTGAGGCCGAGGCTGCTGCCCAGGCCTCACAATCAGAAAAGCCCGATGTCGAGATGGCTGAAGCGCCAACCCCCAGGCCCCCGCCATCCGCTCCTCGCTCTGTTGGCCCTAGCCAGACGGCCAGGCAGCGGGAACTCAGACGTCCAATGAAGCCAACCAAGGAAGCACCCAGCAAGATCAAGCAAGCGCCTACCGTCATTCGCGTTAACACCGGCTCGCAACACTCGCAGTTCCACCCCTCCAACAGCACATTATCATCGGGTCTGCAAGAGACACTAGGCTCGTCGGTCAAGTCCAAATCAAGCCAGCCAGGCTCACATAGCAAGCAATCTCTGGCGAGCATGAAGAGCTCTGTCTCGTCCAATGGCCGACCGAAAGCACTCGAGCTTGCCGCCAAGCGAAAGGAACAAGAAGAGCGGGAGGCTCAAAGGAAGAGAGATGCGAAGCTCGAACTCGAACGGAAACGCGCTGCGATTCAAGAGGAAGAGCGCAAGCAGGAACTGCAAAGGCGACAAGAGGCGGAGAGACAGAGGGAGAGGGAGAAGGAGCAAGCCGAGGCGAAGAAGAGTGCACAGAGACAGGCAGCAATTGAGCGTGCCAAGCAGACGCGAGCACCACCACCTGCTGTGCGCTCTCAGCCCAATGGCCCTCCCGACTACACTGCCAGTCAACGCTCCGATGGCCAACCTCCCCGGCCTCCGTCCCGAATGAACTCCATGGCCCATCGGTCTCAAGAGGATCGACCAGTCAATGCTGTTCTTTCTAACGCTTCGAAGCCAGGCTCAAAGCGCCCCCTGCCGCAAGACAGCAGAGAGGACAATGGCTCTCGCAACCCTCCCGCACGTAACGGGCAGTCTTACAAGACCCAGGAAGCCAAGCGTCGTCGCACTAGTGATGACTTTGCTGATGAGCTTGACATGGACATCCAACCACCCAACATCAAGGGCCCCCCTGTTCGCCCTCCGTCAGTGGGTTTCAAGAAGGTTAGTAACTCATTACTCAGTGCGCACGACGGGAGCTTTGCTGACGTGGATCATCAGGACATGCCCACGAAGTCGACGTACGGCTACACCAACGCACCGCCGAGTGCCTCCAGAGATTTGTTCAAGTCTACCGTCACCGCCCAGCACCACAGCACAATCAAGTCCACAAAACAAGTGGATATGAATCAGTTTGCTCAGGGACACATTCCATTCGCGCCTAATCCAAACCCTGCCGGCCCGGCTCACAAGACACCGGCGCGACCTATGGGTGCTGCAAGCACAAAGTCTACCGCCAAGGCTACGAGATCGTCTCCTCGATTCCAAGACGGCGAAAAGATTGAGCTGCCTGAAATCGATACAGATGAGGACGAGGATGATGACGACTCCCACTTTGGGGTTGCCCCTTGGGCTGATTCGCCTGATTTGAGACGCGCCCTCATGAAACAGGAAACCATGAATCCTGAGGGTATCTTTGGGCCTCCCCGCGCCCTCAACATGGAGGAAGTGTTTAACAACAAGGAGAGATGGCACAAGTTCCGCGCGCGCACATCAAGCGCCAACTGGAGTGGATCGGATCGCTTGACAGAAGACGAGATTAGGAAGGATCTTGCAGCTCGCGACAAGCTTCGCAGAGAGGGTGGTTGGTCCTACGAGATGAGCAAGGACTTGATGTGAGAGTCGCCGCAGACTTGGCGTTGGTTTTGGTGGTTGGGTGACAGCTGTGTGGTTTACACATGCGAACGAACTCACGATGGGACATATGCAAGCAGATCATACGGCTGCTCAGATGGCTGAGTAAAGCCTGGCGTATTCTTTTATTCTTGCAAGGAAGCAAGAAACCTTTTATTGCGGGCGTTGAGCAGCATAAGGCATGCAATTATGACCGTGTTAATATCGAGTAAAATGGCAAGTCCGCGTTACTTTTGAAGCTATGATGAGCCTCGTGGTATGTTAGCTGCGAGTCGGACATGCACCTGAGGGCCGGCTGTTACGGTCTCCAGCTTTCATTCGATCGCATGGATGGGAGAGGTAAGGCTCTGAGTCTTAAGCTAGGGTTGTGTCATTCTCGTTGACAGGGCAACCGCCCCGGACGCTATGACGGTACCTGCCAGGATCCGACGCGGTTGTGCACCCAGGTACCTAGGTTGTTAACGCGCTGGACCCTTGTTAGGTACTCTCCAAATTTCCTGGTGGGATCCGTAACCTCCAACAGTTTTCAGGAGCTGTCAATCCATCCACCAATTTCTTGACTCGGATTCGCGAAACGACCCTTTCTTTTGTGCTGATTCGGGTTGCGTGATCTCCTGTATCCGTGATAATCCTGGAGAATGGGTGCTAACGACAGCACGGAGAGCCGCAAGCGCAGTCGTGCCACACCGGCGAAACCAGACCACAGTATCCCATCGAGCTTCAAGAAACGGAAGCTAGACGCCAACGGCAACCCGATTGTCGCTTCTTCTCCGACGACACCCAAAAGTACTCCAGGGGTCAATTCATCCGCTCTGAAGAAGTCCGCTCGCAGTAAAATCACATCCTCGCCCGTCTCGGCATATGACGTGCCAGACTCCCCCGAGGACAACCCGCCACGTCGAATCCGCAATGTAAGAAGCGTTGACCGACCGACTGCCAAAGTTCCGATCCCGCCTCGCCGCAATGTCGACGTTGATATTTACGATATTCCCTGCTCCGACGATGAGCTGCATTCGAGCCCGAAGGAGGTGAACTCGCAAAAAGCGAGCCCTACGAAGAGAAAGAGCAACGCCGCGGCCGGCCACGATGTAAATGAGGTCAATGGAGGGGAGACCATCGAGAAGCCACAGCCTCAAAAGGGCAAGATCAATAAGGTGCTGGGAAAGGACGAGAAGGTTGCTTCGACAGAGGAGTCTTCCTCGCAGATACGATCAAGCGGACGCCGGAGAACTCTGACAGCGAAAGCCCTCGAGCATGTGGAAAAGGTTGCGAGTCGCTCTGCGACTCCGACTTCTCACGCGAGATCTTCTGCCACTGCGAATGAAGTGCCGGAGTCCAAAAAGGCTACAGGGAAGGCGAACCGCAACATATCTATGCCTCTGAAAGGTATCTTGACACCGTCCAAGCGGGACGGTACGCCGAGAAGGAGTAAGAGCGTAGCGTTCGATTCTGCTAGTGCTTTGGCTCAAGAGGAGGTGTTTTTCGAGGATCTTCCGACAAAATCTGGGAGAAGCCGAAAACCATCACAAAAGGTGGTTGAAGCAAAAGTAGTAGTGGCGAAGACCGCGAAGTCACGAAAGGCGCCGCCCAAGGTGATTGATGAGGAGTCACAGGAGGAAGAAGATGTGCAGTCAGAGGTCGAAGAACAGCAAGATGAAGAACCGGTAGCAGAAGCGTCAAAGCAGGAGGAAGAGGAAGACGAGGACGTTTGTTCGATATGCACGAAGCCCGATTCCAAGCCTGGGAACAGAATTTTGTTCTGTGATGGCTGCGATAAGGCGTTCCATCAAAAATGCTACAACGTGCCCAAGGTTCCCCGGGGAGACTGGTTCTGCAACGATTGCGTTGGGCAGAAGCAGTCGCGAGCAGTGGCAGCAGACGAGGCGGTGAAGACTCCCAATTTCGCAAAACACCTGAGCAATCTGCAAAGGGTGCTACTAGACCGGTGTACGGGTCGCCGACGAATCAAGCTGATTGACCAGGATGACGCCTACGAAAAGGCGCATCGGCTGGTAGAGCAGACGGTACTGGCTGGGGAGGGCAACTCCATGCTCGTAATAGGGGCAAGGGGTTGCGGCAAGACCACGGTAAGTCAACACTTATGCACACTGCATCGGTGCTGTTCTAATATCAAACAGCTCCTCGAGAGCATAGTCGACGACCTGTCTTTGCAGCACAAGAAGGAATTCCATGTTGTAAGACTAAGCGGGTTCATTCACACCGACGACAAGCTGGCCCTGAAAGAGATTTGGCGGCAGTTAGGCAAAGAGATGGAGGCGGAGGACGAGGCCAATGCTCGGGTTTGCAGTCCCAATAGCTCAAGAGATAAGGCCAAAGAAACTGACGAATCGTGTAGTCAAATTACGCCGACACAATGGCCTCGCTGCTTGCGCTGCTATCTCACCCGTCGGAAATGGCACAGGCGGAAGAGGGCGTGACGTCGCAAGCGGTCGTCTTCATCATTGATGAGTTTGACATGTTTGCAGCGCATCCCCGGCAAACGCTGCTCTACAACCTATTTGATATTGCACAGGCGCGTAAAGCCCCTATCGCGGTGCTGGGCTGTACGACACGCATGGACGTAGTAGAATCTCTGGAAAAGCGCGTGAAGAGTCGTTTCAGCCACCGTTATGTCTACCTGTCCCTCCCAAAAAGCTTGCCGGCATACTGGAAAGTATGCAAGCAGGGCCTTTGCGTCGATGACGAGGACATGGACTTCGAGGGCATCGATGTCAGTGTTGATGGACACGAAGCTTTCCACGCAAATTGGAAGGCTATGGTTGAGGTATGTTTCCAGGCCAGATTGCAGGAGGGCTGAAGATTGACTCACCTTTCCACAGGTTCTATACAAAGAAAAGGCATTCCAAAGTCTATTGCAATACCACTACGCAACGACAAAATCCGTCTCGGCATTCCTGTCAGCGTGCATCCTTCCCCTCTCCGCGCTCTCGTCTACATCTCTAGATCTCGTCATTCCGCCAACGCCCAGCGGCCCGGTCGTCTCTCTCTCGCCACCAAACTCCAAGCTTCACCTTTTGTCGTCGCTCTCAGAGCTGGACCTGGGCCTCCTCATCGCAGCAGCGCGACTGGACATTGTGGCACATACAGACACGGTCAACTTTGCAATGGTGTACGACGAGTACGGCTCACTGATGGGTCGGCAGCGGGTGCAGTCGGCCAGCTCGGGACTGCTGGCCCTGGGCGGCGGCGTGCGGGTGTGGGGCCGCGGTGTGGCTGTTCTCTCATGGGAGAGGCTCGTTGCCCTGGGGCTGCTGGTGCCGGCGGGTCTCGGGACGGGTCGGGCTTCGGGGTACGGCGGGCTGGAGGGGAAGATGTGGAAGGTGGATATGGCGCCCGAGGAGATTCCCGTGGGGTTGAAGTTGAACAACGTGTTGGCGCGGTGGTGTAAGGAGATTTGAGCGTGAACATCATCCTCCGATGAAGATATGACCAGGGCGTATAGAATCAGGCAAAACGCCAGTTATGAGCCATTGCTAGGCTTCCATATTTGCACCCCTAGGACCTGTAACAGTAGTTGGAGGCAAAGGAGCTGCTGATACTGAAAGTTGAGCGCCTCCTTGGCGATCTCATTTCCACAACTGGTTCCCAGGGCTTGGCGCCACATGAGTACGGCGCGGTCTAACGATTCGTAGGGCGTGGTTGGCATAAGGTGGTCTGATTGTCTATCAAGTAAGGACGCCAGACATGCCAGGCGAATATCTACCTTGGGGAGCGTGGGAGGCAAGTAGGCACGTTTGGACCAGGTAGTTGTTTTGACGCGGCGCTAGGGAGACGATCCGGCCCGGTGTCTAGGCTGCTTTTGTCAAGGTCGGGGTGTCGTTGGGTGCTTGTTTGGAATCATGGAAATGCAGTCTGCTTATGGATGTAAGATGTAGGTGTGAAGAGAGGGGAATACGAGGACGGCGGGCAGTATTTCTATCTCTCTACTTTTGTTCTCCAAGTCTCTGGGCCGGTTGGTTTTGTGAGATTTTTATGTTTGGTGATCATGAGAGTAGCGCATTTCGGGTAGCGTCAGCCAGGTGATTGTAATAGTATAGTGAACTACCGATGTCTTTTGAGTGTATCATGAGCCGAAGCGGACTCCATTGGTTATGGTCTGCTGTCAAGTCCCTAGTTTAAAGTCTAAATTGGTTTGTGGTAGTGCAGTGTGGTAGTTTGAAGGTTTGATGATGGTTGTTGCTTGGGGGAATTTGATAGCTGCGTAACGGCCGTAACGTCGTCGTCGTCGTCGGACGCGGGGGGCGAAGGCCAAGATGCAGAGTATGAAGATCTTTGGCACTTTGGGTGCGCCTTTGCACTTTTTGCGTTTTGTTTCTTGTTTCTCTATAGACAGGCACCTGAATACTGTATGCGGTCAACTTATGACCCCGGTCACGAGGCAGGGTGGGTTGAAGAAGGGAGTGTCTGGCGGAATTATAACCACATCTCCGTAGCGGAGAATGGATGAAGACATGGATTTAGATGATGTCACGATGTCACGATGTCACGATATCGCGGAGAAACACGTGCTGAACAAGATAGAGTATGATCCCTTCTGGCCGGGGGATATATTTATAAGTAAGCGATTTTCAGGAGGCAGCGGGAGGGGGAAGGGAGGGGAGGCTGGAGTGGCCAGGGTTGTGGTTGATCTAATGGGATGATGGGGTTCGTGAAACCTTTGATCATCCTAGCAGTGCATGGGCTGTGATGGCCTGTCAGAAGGTAGGGGGAGGACAGGACAGACTATCTCTCTAGATACTGCGTGAGACTGCGTGAGAAATGAGCATGATCAAATGCGGTTGTCAGCTTGTCTACCTCTCTAAGGCTGGTTGACGAATGTAAGAAGACGGTGAGTGCAGTCTGAAAGGTCCAGTGTGTTAGTCAAGAAGCGCCAAGGGACGGCGGCCGCCTCGGGTAGGTAGTTTGTGGTAGTTTAAACGACGTTGGAGGTGTCAGTGACGTCCCTCCCTCGGGCGGCCGCGTGCCAAGAGATGTAAGCCGGCCGCTCCCTCCCAAAAGAGGCTTTTCTTACCTACATTTAAGGTACACGACATCTCCACTGCCCTCATCTACCGAAGTCTGGACCTCATTGGATCCTTTCCGAAGTGCGCATGGTCGCGCACCGCCTGTAGCTTTACATAGGTATGAAAAAAGAGGCGTTTGTATCAAGAATCCCATTGTTCTCGTATTCGCTCATGCTGGAAAGATGGAGATTGGTGAGAGAGAGAGAGAGCATGCAAGCCACACGCGTGGTTGTTGGTGTAGGTACTTTGGCTGGACGGAAGGGCCCTGCAGCTCGGGACTGGACGTCTTGGTGTTGATTGAATCGTTGCATCGGCCCAATGACAGCACCCGTCTCGATACTTTCCAGGCAAAGACGGGGTCGGGTACGGATACCTTTAGTGATCAGTCGTCCATCGGGTACAGGGTGGTCCCACAAGTCTGGGAACCCGGCGGCCGCCCGCCGCCACGTTGCGGCGGGTTGAATTCCGCACACGGGCATCCAATCTGGTGGGTTTTTGGGGAGGTTTTTTGGTGTGTTTCCCTTTTCTTTGAGTTCCATTAGGTTTTGAGTGTCTGGGTCCTCCAGGTGCCACTGTCATCTGTCATCGATCCGAGTTAGCCATGTGCCGAGAAACACCAGGGCAGTCTTGATCCATCTTCTTCTCCCCCCCCCCCCCCCCAGGACTCCTGGACCACCCGAACACAATGTCTTTTGAAAACATCCAGTGGGACACATCAGCCGCATGATCTCTTTTTGTCTCTGAGTCTGGGGAAGGGGGCTGAGCTGATGGGACGACAGAAAAAGACAAGAGAAACGTCCGAGCCGAGCTGCCTGCCTGCCTGCCTTGGTTTTAGTGGCAGCACAGAAACTTGTCCACCGACTCCCCTTGTTCTATGTACACAGTAAGGTACTTTGTGTGTGTGTGTGTGTGTGTGTGTGTGTGTGTGTGTGTGTGCGTGCGTGCGTGCGTGAGAGAGTGAGGGAGAAGGGCGGCGGCCGCCCATGCTTCTTCCCCCCATGCCATCCCAATCCATCCCGTGGCCCCCGACGACTTTTGTACGCATACAGAAGTACGAACACCTCAGTTCAGCCAAAAAGGTGTGAGGTAAGATGTGCATGGGTCCCGTCCGCCTGATGAGATTTTCTCGTTAATTTTCAATTTGTGATTCCCTCCGAAGCTGGGGGGAAAACAAAACTAGGAGGTTGACCGCATCTTTTTTATGAAGTGACATTGGGCTACAAGTACTAAACGAACTGGCATCAGTTCCTTCCTTACCCGCTCTCCGCCGCTTTCTTTTCAGTGATTGGCCTTGATTTTCTTTCCGTCTTTCTGACGCTGTTCTTGATCAATCATCATCCTTGGTTTGCCATCTACTATACCCAAGGTACATATCCCTTCCTACTTCGAGGTCATCCCGAGTCTATTTCGTTTCTCTCAAATCTCCTACAACTTTACACTCCCAAAATACCTGCCTTGCCTTACATCACTCAACTACCTAGCCTTGATTAAAAACAACTCCGTGGTAGTGCCCCTTCTTGTTTCTTCCCACGGACACTAGACTTTCCTCACCTCCAATCCTGCTCTTCACCGGAATCCTTGCCCTGCTCCCCTTACCCAGAGCCCTGTCTTTTACCGGCTCCAACCCTTTCCGGCAGGGAACCCAGCTCAAGGGGGCACACATACCTAGTGCACACTACACAGTATATCTTACTGCGGTACAGACACAAGCATCCGTACGGATAGTGTGGGTAGTCGGGCTTCACCGTGCCATCACCGCCCACCACGCACAGCTACGCCTCGCGGAGCCAATCTCATCCGGCCGCCCTCTGCGCCTCCGTCCTCCGTCTCCGTGCCAAGCTGGCACTGCCTCCGAACCACAACGCATCGCTTCCACTTCCACCGCATAACCTGGCAAGGCCCCATTTCAATACCCTTCCGGGCTTCCATCTACCGTTTTACCGCAAACTTGACTTTTCAATTCTCGATTTTCAGACCCGAATTCTTGGGACTACACTACCAACCTTACTCACCTACCTAACCTCTCAACCGACTCCTCTACACCAAATCTATTCCATTTTCTCGTTCTTGTTCCATCCCATATCCGCCCTCGCAACAGAGCTGCTTTTCACCCCCAAACTAAAGCTCAATAACCTTAAACTCACATCACATCTTAACCCTCAAACTCGTCTCCAGATACAGACTTTCTGCATATGGGGTCGAATACCAGCATCTAAACAGAGAACCTCCTCCCTCCGCCCACCAACACATCTATTTGTCTCTCTCTTCCCTCAACCATGTCAAAACGCACAACCTTCACCACAATCTCCCCTCTACCCCCAGGCATCACCCGCGATGCCGTCCTCGACTTCCTCCACAACCACCTCGAGATGATCGACCTCAACCCCCTCATCAAAGAACGCCACCTCATCCCGCCACCACCCAACGCGCCCCCCGAAGAGCACGCCTGCGCGTGGTACTCCCTCACCGACGAGATCTCCTACCTGCCCGGCGGCCTGGCCACGGGTAACGTCAGCTACACATGCTGCTTCCACGACCTGCCCACCGGCCTGCAGACCCACTGCTACGCGCCCATGGGCCTCGAGATCCGCGACAAGTGGACCGTCGCCGGCTCCCTGCCGGGGGAACCCGTCGAGCCCGTCGAGCTCGGCATCGGCGCCCCGCTCACGGGGCTCTACATCCGCGAGGACGTCGATATGCGCTGCAACGTCTTCACCTCGAGCTTTGTCAAGAAGACGCTCAAGAAGAGCCATGGTTTGCTGGTCGACCGCTTAAAGACAAAGGTTCACCGCACCGTCGTCGCTGCCGCGCATCAACGGCACGGCAGTCAGAACTCACTACCGGGGTCGGTCAGGTCCGGCTCCAGCGGGCACAGCGCCACGCAGCTGCAGCATCAACAAACATACCCGAACCCGGCTTACACGAACAACAACGTCTTCGGCAACCAAATCAGTCTCCCATATAGACCTTCATATCCCAACAACAGCATACCCGTGACCGCACCAACACCGGCACCGACGCCCCCAGCCAGCGACGGCTCCCAAACCTCACAAAACGCATACCCGGAACCCCTCCGTGTCCGCCGCACCACTAACCAAACTGACTCGACGTTTTCTCATCAACACCAACATCAACATCAGCAGAAGCCGTCGTGGCCGGATATCAAATCGCAACCGTCCGCCGCCAACGGGTACGCGCACGTCAACTTCTTGTCCGGCCATAACAACGCATACGACGCGAAACCTTTGCCTCCGTCGCCGTACGCGGGAGGGAGAGTGGGAGGAGGAGGAGGTGGTGGTGGTGGAGGTGATGTTGGTCAGCAGCAGCAGCACCAGCGAAATGGGTGTCAGCAGAACAGTGGCGCAACGCTGCAAGGGCCCTTTGTCGCTGAGCTGGAGTGAGTGAGATTTTGGGAGGGGAGTGGTGGCGGAGTGTGCCCCTTGTGTCACAGTCTTTTGTTTCCCGTCGCTTCGGCCTAAGGGTCTGTTTGTGTTGCTTATATAAACTCGATACCCCATATCTTATTGTTAATTTTTGGCAATTTATCAAAGACATGTATACTAGTACATGAGAACCTCCTTCATTGTAAGTGAGGTCTGGATGTTTTGTGTAGTTCGCGCGAGGCGCAGGTTACGTCCTTGGGTTGGTGAGATTGGTGAAGTTGACTAAGATTAAGTCTCAATTTTCCGGACATGAGGCTGAGATCTTGTCGTCTTTCATATTCAATTGAATGACTAAGATCTTAAACAACAAACCGCTATTCCAAATAGGCAATCTTTTACATCAAAACACCAACTAACAAACACCGTGTTGCTACAGACCGAAGATCCTTCTCAACAGAGACATCAAATCCCCCGGCAACTTTCTCATTAAGCTCATCATTCCCTCCCGAGCCAACTGGGACCCCTGAGCTTCCAGGACCTGTCGCTTCTCCTGCTCCTTCACCTGCGTCTCCATCCCCTTCTTCGGCGTGGGCGTATACCTCCTTTCCCCATCCAACCTCTGCATCCCATATCTCTTAGTCACAAGCGTAGACCAAACCTCCATACCCAAAATCCACGAAACGCACCCGTCCCGCAATATGCTCAAATTCACATCATCAACCTCGTCTTCCAACATCGGCAGCCCCTCGCAAGCTCCAAGAAACTTCTTCACAAGATCACTAGTCTCCTCGCCCAGCTTCGTCATGGCCTCTTGCGCACCTATCCGGTCCTCCTCCATGAGAACCCTCACGCCATTATGCCCGTCCTCGCCCTTGGCCTGCTCTTTATCGAAACTGTAAATGTCGTTTTGGTTGATGATGACGTCGACGCAGAGACCCAGCAGCGAGTCCACCGCGGGACTCTGCAAAAAGCCGGGGCGGATGGCGCGGTCGATGAGGAGGAGCGCCATGCCCGGGAGGACGCCAATGGTGCGCCGCCGGACGGCGATGTACCTCTCCCGGCTCGGCACGCAGTTGTGCCCTCCCACCTCCCCGTTCGGCCCCGTTCTCCGGAGCGCCACCTCGTCGCCCACGCCGTCGAGGTAGTCTGCGAAACTGTCCACGAAGAAGTTCCACGAGTCGAGCGTGCCGCCCACGGCGTCGCTGCGATAGCGTATCGCAATGTCGGCTGCCATGCGGACGCCCACCCACACCTCGTCGTCCCCGTCTCCGTCCCGATCTCGCCCAATCTCCTCGGGATGCCGAAACGCGCGGACCATGGCGGCAGATTGCCTCCGCACCTGGGCCTCGCCCTCCTCCGTGTCGTCCACGTTGTCCGTGAACTCGTCAATGACGAAGAAGTGGAGCATGACGAGCGCAGCGAGAAGAACGTGGCGCGCGGGCTGGTGGGCGTAAATAATGCATGCTATCTCGGGGAAGTCGCCGGCGATGATCTTGGAGATGAAGAGTTCGTTGATGCCCTTGTTGATGGAATTTGGCTTGGCGTTGCTGTGGCAGTAGCCTCGCAGCCAGCTCTCGGATTCGGCCTTGATGTACTGGGAATCTGGGTGGTTGTTTGGGGGGTAAGGAGATGGCCAGCTTGGGTGTCGGCGCCAGTCTGCTAGGAAATCTGGGATTTGGATGGTGGTGTGTTGGATGGTATGTTTCTCAGCGATTGGGGACGCCATGATTTACGGCTTGCCAACGTAGATCCAGTTGTCTGGACTCTGGAGTAGTATGACTGGATGATGGTGTAATTGAACTCTTTGAGGGGAAGAAGAGGTTGCTGTGGACAAGTGAGAGCAGCAGGATTTGGTTTAATGTCTTGGGCTTCAAACGTTTCTTTGGCCACTGCTTGGAACTGAGAGCTTTATAGCCATCCTTCGAGGGGCTAAGCCGTACCACCAGCAGACTTTCGAGTCACGAGGCTCAGCAAAGACCGAGAGGAAGCCTAGAACTTGATGTCATCCAAGGTACACGATATCACATCCAAACCAACTTGTCACTTTCAGACTTGATAACGGTCATCATATCGGCACACAATCGCTTCCTAATCCGGATGTGAAACGGGGCCTCTTCCCACTCCGGAGACAAGGGACAGAGGCCAAGGGACGCAAAAACCTGATGTGAAAAGCTTCTCCACCTCCAACACGAAGAAAAAACTACCGATACACTGCCCGTAAGGCGTCCCATCGAAGAGACTAGGCTATCGCCGTAGCCCACCGGAAAACCCCCCCTGGTGCCCCCACGCAACTCAGCCCTATCGCCATTGAGGAACTGCACAGCAGACGCTTGTTGGTTCGCAAACGCACCCAGGCCAATCAATTCGTGGCCCCCAAAGCCCATAGGGCTGAGACTTGTTCGGTCTTGTTGAAGAATCCGGTTCCAGGTCCGCGGTAGAGTTACCTTCGGACCGGGGCTGAGGGCTCCCCGGTCCCCGGCTCTCCGCCCTTCTCTTCCTTCCTGTGCCTCGGGCGGTGGCACGGTGATGGATGGCTGGCTGTTTCCACACCCACACACACACACACACACACATCCACTATCACTATCACACTCTCTCACATACACACTCACACAATGCCAACATCCTCTTACTTGCTTGTCCCGAGAATATCCATAAGATCATAAGCGTGGGACAAAACTCCATCAAAAATAAAACATGCAACACCAGGCATTCGCCGGTCGTCTCCGACCCGACTACTACTCTGGCCCTCGCTGGTTTATCAATGGGAGAGCGGACGGGATCCCGAGTTCTCCAGTGGGTATGGTCGCATGTGTCGAGATGATCTGGCAATTCTGTTCTTGTTCCAGCAGGCTGGTTGACCGCGGAGCGTCGTTGGACGGGCTCGGCGGGATTACCACAACCAGGACCCCGGGATCGACATAAGCCAGGGCGATTAGTCACAACGTATCTAAGCCCCCCAAATTGGGGTCTGGAAAGTGGGATGTGGAGAAACATGTTGGTCACAAGTGCATGCTCTCTTTTTACTCAATTCGGCATCATCTTACCCCCTCCTCTCGTGCCACACCTTGTTCTGACCGTGGTTGGGAGGACCGGTGGGAGCTGACTGTTTGCTTCGCCCGAGGCTAGCACACGGTGGCGGTGGTCCAGGCTTATACGGGCTTTGGGGGGGGGGGGGGGGGGGGCGTGTCGCGTTCAGGGTCGGCCGGGGGAAGGCGGGGGGGGGGTGGGGGGGCGGGTGGGGGGGGGGGGGTGTGGTGCGCGGGGGGGGGGGGGGGGGGGGGGGGGGGGGGGGGGGGGGGGGGGGGGGGGGGGGGGGGGGGGGGGGGCATTTGCGTCGTTCAAGGTCTCGGCCCGGGAAAAGCGGGGCCGGGGCGGGCGTCCGGCTCTAGCAGGCAGCACAAGGCAAGGCTTGGATGGCAGCCTGCCAGGCAGACATGGACGGAAAAAGTCATTCGCGGGCGATGGTTGCTCCCTTCAAAATGGTTCTAGATCGGGGATTGTGGCAGTCAAGACTTATTTTGTAGATTTGTTATCTGGCCACATGATCTTTACGGGTGAGCATTAAGCGGACAGGTTTGGAAATGACTCTTTCTCATAGTGCGAGGTTCAGAACATTAAATCTTTCGATTAAGCGGCAAGTTGCCTTACCAAAATCCAATTGCAAAGCCAATCGCGCGAACCTTGGAGGAATGGATATAGCTTTGGCCGTCACTGAATTTATCTAAGAGCAATCTCACGACAACGGTCCCTCAAGAGACACGTCGCACCTACATGCCAACTCCATCGCGAGGTTCTCAGTCAAACACGCCCGCGCGGCATGAGACATGAGAAGCAAAAAACGAGAGAAACGACGTAGATTCGAGCTCGCAACCTCCAGAGCCCATCATCGTATTCCGTAGAAAAACGTACATGTGTGAATAGGCAGGTATCACATCATAAACATCGCTCGTCACCAAAATCACTATGGAGAACGATGCCATAAAAAACAAACTATCCATGGCATGATGTAGGACCGTGAGCCAACATACGCTTCCACCCATTCAAGGGCAAGAATCGTACCGCTCGGCCATCGACTACAACGGACGGTGTTTGTTGAAAGATGCACCACTTTTGTTCGCTATATATCATTCTGCATGTCCAACATTGTGCTCTTGGTAACTTTGAGTCATCCCGCCTCCCGAGAACCGCTTTACACCCGAGCGATCAGCGATAAGGTAAAAATACAAAATCAAATACATCATTCTGCTATATCATTCTACTAATCTCACATGTTATTGGCCCATATCCTCATCGTCATTTTCACACAGTACCCGTTCTGAAAATACAAGACCTATAACATCGCCTCTCATTTCCTGGCACTCTAACGCTTCACAGTGCTGCAGTCAACGTGTGTGGGCGCCGGATGATGCGTTGCCAAACTGAAGTTGGAGTTTCCGTGCTGCCTGCCGTTTCGCGGGCCTCTCGGTGCAAGGGTCACATCTTTGTATCCGACGTCGAATGTGCTCCGGTCGTTTTCATTGTAAAAGGCGCGAACAGGGCCGGGTGTTGGGTTACTACGCCCGCTGGCGTACCTCATGCGACCAGACGGTCTCTGAAGAACCAAACAAGGTCCAAATTTTGTGACTCGTCATCTCGAAGAGCTTGGCTTCTGCCATTGATGTCACGAGATAGCAATCGCGAAACAGACTCGTTCCACCGAGGCAAGGAGACGAAGGTAGGCTTCACTTCCGCGCGCGCCTGTCCACTCGCTGAAGCGCCGTGCAGCTCCGTCAACGAATAGAAACAAACTCAGATATCTTCAGCTACTAGAGCCAGAGCAAAGCGGCAGTGTTGGACTCCAAGGATCAGCTCCAGTTTTGTTGGTCGTTGGACGCTTAAGTATGGCTTTGACCAGTCGCGTGCGGTGACGCCCGCCCGGAAAAGCGGGATCTCGAGGCTGATGCCCCGACTTCACTGCACTCATCCTCTTTCCATCTCTAACTTCTAAACTCATACCAGGAATCATCAGAGCGAAA